AAATACCTGAGATTTTACTGCTTACTTTTCTTCTACAGTTTTTGTGGGTTTGGATCTAGCATTTAAGTCTTTAATATATTTTGAGTTTGTTCTTGTGTATAGTGTAAGAAGGTGGTCTAGTTTCATTTTTTTGGCATGTATTTGTCCAATTTCCCCAGCAGTATTTATTGAATAGACTGTCTTTACTCCATTGTATGTTTTTGCCTCTTTTGTCAAATATTATTGACTATAAAGATGTAATTTCATTTCTGGGCTCTCTATATAATCTACATGTCTGTTTTTATTCCAGTACCATGCTGTTTTGATTACTATGGCCTTGTAATACAGGTTGATATCAGGTAGTGTGATTTCTTCAACTTTGTTCTTTCTCAAGATTGCTATGGCTATTTGGGGCTTGGGGATATTTGTTCTAGTTCTGTGAAATATGTCATTGGTATCTTGATAGGAACTGTATTGAATCTATAGATTGCTTTGGGTAGTATGGACATTTTAATGATGTTAATTCTTCCTGTCCATGAACAGGGTATATGCATCCACTTATTTGTATCTTCTTCAGTTTTTTCCTTTATTGTCTTAATAATTTTCTCAGTACTGGTCTTTCACATCCTTTGTTAAATTTATTCCTAGGTGGTTTTTTTTTAAGCAATTGTGAGTGGAATTATTGTGTTAGTTTCCCTTTTTGACAGCTTATTAGTTGTTTATAAAAATGCAACTGATTTCTGAATATTTATTGTGTGTTCTACTTTACTAAAGCCATTTATCAGTTCAAATAGCTCTTTTGGTGGAATATTTATGGTTCTCTCTATATATATATAAAGTTTCGTGTTATCTGCAAATAATGATAGTTTTACTTCTTCCTTTTCAATTTCGATGCCTTTTATAACTTCTTGTCCGATTGCTGTGACTAGAACTTGCAGCACCATGTTGAATAAGAGTGATGAAAGTAGACTTCCCTGTATTCTTCCTGATCTTAAGAGAAATGCTTTTTGTTTTTGTCCATTGAGTATGATGTTGGCTGTGGGTCTGTCATATATGGTCATTATTATGTTGAGGTATGTTCCTTCTATTCCCGCTTTGCTCACAGTTTTTATCATAAATTTGTGTTGGATTTTATCAAATGCTTTTTCTACATCTATTGATATGATCATGTGTTGGTTTTTTTGTTTTTTAATACTCACCTGAGGACATTTTTCTGCTTATCATCAGACTGAGTGGGAAGGAGGGAGAGAAAGAGAGAGAGAGAGAAACGTGGACATGAGAGGGACAGATCCACTGCTTGCCTCCTGCATGACCCAACCAGGGCTGGGGATGAACCACAACCAAAGTACATGCTCTTGACCAGAATCAAATCAGCGACTCATTGGTCCACAGGCTGACGATCTAACTTCTGAGCCAATCTGGCCAGGGCTCATTCTGCTTCTTAAAGCAGGCTCTTTTACATTTCTTGTAAAACTGGTTTGGTTGTAACAAACTCATTTAGGTTTTTCTTTTCTGGGAAGCTCTTAATTTTTCCTTCAATTTTTTTAAAGAATAGTTAGTGATTTTTAGAGAGAAAGGAAGTGAGAGGGAGAGAAAGAGGGAAACATTGATGTGAGAATGGAATATCATTTGGCTGCCTCCTATACTTCCCTCATTGGAGATCATACCTTTGAATCGGCAACCTTTTGGTGTAAGGAATGATGCTCAACCAACTGAACTACACCAGCCAGTGCTCTCCTTTAATTTTAAACGATATTTTTGCTGGTTAAAGTAGTATTGGTTGTAGGTCCTTGCTTTACATTACTTTGAATATTTCATGCCAGTCACTTCTACCTGAAATATTTTGGCTGAGAAATCAGCTGACAGTCTTACGGTGAGCTCCCTTGTAGCTAACTGTCTTTCTCTCATAGCTTTTAAGATTCTTTGTCTTTAATCTTTAGCAAATGGGGAGTAGGTGCTAATGGATCTCCCATGAGGCAGAGGTGCTGATCAGGCTTCAGAGAACGTGGTGGGTGTAGTCCCAGCCCTACAGCCTCATGACTCAATCTTTTCTGGATTTTGCCTTGACTTCGGCAGGGTGAAACCAATAGAATTCAGGTGAGTGAGACCTCCATATCCTGGAGGTTGGGTCTGCTGGAAGCTGGGAGTATGGTTCTATCAGCTCTCCTGTGTGGGGGACATGCCTGTCAGCTTCATGGGAAAGTGGAGGTAATTACCTCTTCTCCAAACCAGACAATTCTGTCACTGACACCCCCTGAGTCTTCCCAGGCCTCTACACCCTGTCCAGGGCAGCTGACTCCTCAGCAGGGCCAAAGCTCCACAGGGTGGGGCAAGAGGGAGTGCAGAGTGCGGGGCAGTTGCTTTCCCCCTAGCTTGTGTCACATGGAAGGGAGTCTTCTATCCAAGAAAGATGGCATCGGTGGTATGAAAAATTGACTCAGCATGCGTTTCTGGGGGCTGTCTCTTCAGCTCGCTCTCCATAGCCATAAACCCCAGACTCTCCTCAGTCCTTCTGGTCCACCTCACCCTCCCTCTGCCAGAGCCCAGGGTGATTGGCTGCCAATGAAAGTATGTGTGTTGACCCTTTAAGAGGGTTCCTGTGTCAGCGGTTGAGCTTGTCTCTCCCTGGTAGACAGAAACCTTACTACTTTTCACAGCCAGATGTTACGTGGGTGCCTCATTCTGGCTCTGGTGCTCTGTTTGGGGTTTAGGCCCCACTTTTTTCAGGAAACCTCCCACATCTGATATAGCCCTCTTGAATCTAGGCTGCTATCTGTGGAAGCAGAGCCAGCTGTTTTCTCATCTCTGCCTTTCCCACTAGTCTCAATGTGGCTTCTTCTATAAATCCTTGGTTATAAGACTCCTCTTCAACTAGTCTTCAGTTAGTTATTCAGGATGATTGCTCTTTAATTTAGTTGTAATTCTGTTTTCATCTAGGCAAGAGGTGAGTGTAGCTTCAACCTATTCCGCCACCATCTAGAAATCCTCAACCAGTGATTTCTTTTAATGCTTAGATTTCATAAAGGAAATAAAAGTTTTCTGTCAATTTAAATTCTTTTGACAGACATTTCCTGGAACTCTTCAGCCCTTGAGGATTGGCCCATCTCTTTCTAGTCTTTCAGTGAACTGCCAAGCAAATCACAACACACATCCCCAAATTATGTTGAGGGCTGGGTTCCCACCTTGATACCATCAAGCCACTCTGTGAACATGAGCCATTATCCCCACAACTGCCTGCTACAGAGACTCGGCATGATGCATGATGGTAGCTGCTAGCAAAACATGAAATTCAGTGACATATACCAGCTTGTTTTCTTCATCAAACATTCCCTTGTGTCCTACAAGTATCTAATTATAGTTTTAGAGTTTTGAAATAGTGACTCTGAGAGTTCTTGCCAGCTCAACACTTGATTTGATGTAGGGTCTGATTTCTGGAGCTTTCCACTGTGCCATTTTCTATGATGTCACTCCTGCATTTACTCTTGGTGAGGTAATAATCTCCACAGTAAAATGTACTTACCTATATTGTGAATAGAATTTTAGTGAGGGCTGATACATGTATAGTATATGTATTTGATAACTACTTACAAGTTATTTACCATTATACCTCTCCTCACAAATTAGGATAGTTGACCAGAAAGATGGGATTTTGCATGCATATGTATTATCACTATATATCACTACACTGTATCTTGTGGTTATGCAGAGAAAATGGCATTTATTTTGTTTGTAGTCTGTTCTTTTCCCTAATCAGGGTGGTCTACTGATTAAGTGTGAAAAAGTCCAATACTATTTAAAACTTTATCTAGTATGATGATTTAAGTAGCTTATTTAGGTAGTGTCCAACTCTCTGAGAAAAAAATGTTCTTTCTTTGCTTTTTATCCTGGAATAGAGTACAGTCGGCCCTCGTTTATCGCGGTTAATGAGCTCCAGACTACTACCATAAATGAAGTAGGATTCGTTATTTATAGGCATTGGTCCCTTGCCACTTCGCGTTTCGACGTTGGCGGCTTCACTCTGTGGCGGTTTTTCAAATATAGACACTTGGCACTTGACTTTCGCGGCTTCACTTTTTCAAAACCGCGATAGAATGAACCCGCGAAAGTTGAAGCGCGAAGTGGCGAGGGACGACTGTATGGGGTATAGGTGGGGCATATATGATCTCCTGGCAGTGGGGAACTGCTCATTTCTCTAGGTCTGATGTCTGCTACTTCCTGTGTTCTGGGGAGCAAGGTCCTATTACCTCCTAGTTGTGTTTGCCTTGCAGGCTCTTGCATATAATGTCATGGCTGGTGTAACTCATGGCAGGGCCTTTATGACTGGTCAGAGCCCACTGGCCCAGTCCCTGACTACTTCCTATTTCTTTTGCTCCTTCTCGCTGAGCTCTCTATGTGGCCTGCTGGCATGGAATGTCACTCATAGCCTTTGCCACAGGATTTCACTGGTTCAGTGACTGGGCCTTTAGCTCAGGAAACGTGATTCTCTGAGCTTACGAATGCCTGACCATGCCTGGAAAAAGTGTCTCTCGAGACAGTGATCTGGCCTGGCCTGTAAGACGGTGAATTTATTATGTAATCCTTGTCTGTGTGTCAAATGCTGTACATTGGTTCATTTTATCTCTCTTTGCATTTCCTTCAGTAGTAAAACCTAATAGTTCCCAGGTAGATGAAAGCCTCCAGCAGTCTAGGGGTACAAATCATATATGTGGAGAGGCAAAACAACAAAAATAATAATTTTCAAACACTGTCACCATTACGTGTGTGCATATAGACATATGAGGATTATATTTCAAGTCATATGTAATTCTTAATGTATACAAGCCTTAAATTTAGGATCTTTAGAGACATATGTGGTGTACATGCATATATATGTGTACATATTTTATATATAGTTATAGTATATATTATATATAGTTAAGATATGTTACATATATGTGTGTATAATTAAGAAGTTTGGTTTCTATCAAAATTTTCCTATGACTAAAAATACTTATTTTAAAACACATTTCCTTTTGTTGCAGGACAGTTCGTGTGTGGTTAAAGAGAGACAGCGGACAATATTGGCCAAGCGTATACCATGTAATGCCTTGTAAGTATCTTGATTTCTTTTTTTTCTTTTTTTTTTTTTATCCTCACCCGAGGACATTTTTCCATTTTTTGTTCAGATAGAGTGGGAGGGAGAGAGAGAGAGAGAGAAACATCGACATGAAAGGGACACATTGAGTGGCTGCCACTCGCACAACCCAACAAGGGCCAGGGACAAACTGCCTCCGAGGTACATGCCCTTAGTGGAACTGAACCCAGTCTCTCCGGACCGCAGGCCAACGTTCTAATCCCCGAGCCAAACCAGCCAGGGCAGTATCTTGATTTCTGTCTCAAGAAACCAGACATTGACCCCAATTCCCCTTCCTTCTGAGAGTGCCTTCTCTGTATTTTCTTCTTGAGTAGTGATGCCTGAGGGTTGAGATTATCATTATAATGGAAAGTACCATAGTAAATCATTTTAGATTTTCTAAAGCTCTCAGTATGTAAAATAAGAAATTTGTTCTGAAATTGACTATATATGCATAGTTTCTGAATAAGATTAGTGGAAGCATACACCATTATATGCAAAGGCGGGGATGGGGGCTTAGGTAAATAGAGAGGGAAAAAAATTCTGATTGATTTTTTTTCTGACTTTTATTTTATTTTTTTTTACTTTTTTTTTTTTATCTTCACCCGAGGACATTCTTCCATTTTTTGTTCAGATAGAGTGGGGGAGAGAGAGAAAGAGAGAGAGAAACATCGATGTGAAGGGACACATCGAGTGGCTGCCACCCGCACGACCAACCAGGGCTGGGGACAAACTGCAACCGAAGTACGCGCCCTTAGCGGGAACCGAACCCGGGTCTCTCTGTACCGCAGGCCGACGCTCCAACCGCTGAGCCAAACCGGCCAGGGCTTTTTCTGACTTTTAAATGGTATGAAGCAGTCTGATCTGTGGTCTTGCTCTTTCATCAAACTTGTCAGGACATCTCATTGAAAGAGATGGGCAAGGTTTGTAATCCAAAACGTTGAAGTTGACCACTGATTCCGGTCACTTCCCTGACTTTGAAGCTAGAGGAGAGGCAGACCTGGGCAGAATGGTGAGGGCTTGGATATGGCAAGCAAGAAATCTCCTTGAGATGAACATTAATAGGAACCTCATGAAGACATAGGATCCTAAGTAATAACTTGCCCACCCGCTTCCCCATACACACATTCATACACTTTTAAGTGGATTTCTCTAATGCTCTCTTTATCTGAATGTCACTGAGAATACAGAGAAGCCTCGAGTTGCATTTTCATCATTTATTAAGCTGTGTGCAAGAAAAGACTGCTGTGGCTCCTGCACCTGGCAGAGCTGCTCAGTAAGTAAATACTTGTTGAAGACACGAAACTGTTAATAAAGAGGAGTTTCCCTGAGAACATTTTTATAATTTTCCTAACGACTGAACACAGTCTTTCAGAAGAAGGACCCTCTAATTGTTTCCATACTTTACCTATGGTGTTCTACTACAGGGAGTAAAGTGGGATTGCTTGCATATTAAAACGTGGCCTGTGGACCAGTAGTATCAGGATCACCTGAGAACTTATAAAAATGCTAATATTGGGTTTCAGCACTGATTTTCTGAATCAGAATTTGCATTTTAAAAAGATCTGTAGATGATCTGAATACATCTTATAGTTTGAAGATTGTTTTGTGGCAATTTACACGTTTGCATGAACACATGTAAAGCCTCATGCATATATAGTGTTGATTTGTAAATACATAGATAAATACATTCTAGTCGATTAAACATTTACTGCACACTTACTGTATACAGACCATCAAGCTAGGTGCCAGGATGGCAGATGAACAAGGCACAGATGGTCAAGATGATTTCTGTAATCTTTTATTGTTGGATAGTTCCACTACCATGGAGAGGTAAAAGAACAAAAGGTTATGTTCTTCATAGTTGGTCAGAAATTCACTTTTATGGTCCTAGGAATTATATGCATTCAGATAACATAGTCACTGATCTCTGAGCAAGAAATTGAGTTTTGTTTAACTTGAGAAAGGTGGAATCTTATTGTTTAAGGGAATATGCAACATTTCAGGTTAATTAGAAAACCTGAAGTAGTTTTGAATTTCCAACAGGTTGTTTTGCAGTCCTTTCTTTGTTGTTAATCCTCACCCAAGGATATTTTTTCCATTGATTTTTTTTTTTAGAGAGAGTGGAAGGGGGAGGAAGGGGTGGCTGGAGAGAAAAACATCGATGTGAGGGATACACATCAACTGGCTGCCTCCCACATGACCCTGACCTGGGCCAGGGATTGAACCTGCAACGCAGGTACATGCCCTTGACTGAGAATCAAACTCGCGACCCTTTTGCGCATGGGCCAATGATCTTAACTGCTGAGTCACACCGGCCAGGGCTACAATCATTTCTTTTGAAAGGTGTTTTGTTAAGAGGTCAATATTATCCTTAAACAACAGTTATGTGGTATTAGAAAATAAGTGAAAAGGGGCAGTGTATCTGGAGGCTATAATGTGGACGGATACCACAGGTAGACATGACCATATTTTGTGTTTATAGTGGTATACAAAAGTAGCATGTCAAATTTCGAAGAAAACAAAATATCTTGTACATATAATAATGGCTTAGTTGTTTATTTTGTCCATTAAAATACCCTTTAAATATAATATTTGTCATGTTCTGGGTAGGATACTAATGTTGTGTAACATTGAGAAGAGTCTGGAGCTCAGTGGAGGAAAGAAGAGGGAAGGCATTAGACGAGAAAGAATGACTACTAAAGGCTAAGTTTGGTGGCAGGGAGTGAGCCTACAAGGCAATGTGTGGTGAGGCTGAGTGAACTTGAAGGAGTGTAAGACAAAAGAAAGATGAGTAAACACATTCTGATCACAAGCACAATTGCTGTTTTGGGGGTGCCCTCATGCCTTATCTTTTCTGAGGAACTCCCATGTGCCCTGTAGGAGGGAGCCAGAAGAAACCTGACTTGCCTGGTTAAGGCTGTTTGCCCTTGAGCCGGTCTAATTTCCCAGGATGTTAGAATTTGAAGTAGGAAATGCTAGTCTCAGCCCTGGCTGGTCCCTTAAGCTGGGAACATGTAAATCCTGTGAGGCATTTGTGTACTCAGAGAAACAGAGAGAAAGCTGATCTGCTTAAAAGAAAGTGTGAACAAGGGCGGAAGGACCACTTGGCTCCAGAGGGAGAGAATCCTGAGCAAGTGATGCAGAAGGTTTTCCTCATCATCCTCCTAGCTCCCAGAAACCTGGCTTTGCTTCTTCCTTTGAGTTCAGGAAGATACTCCCTCTCATACTGAATATGCCCATTTGTGCTTAAGTTCTCTCCGATGGGTTTCTGTTCCTTGCAACTGCGAGAAGGTCACTCCACCTAGCCCTGATTAGAATTACTATACCTCTTCCTCATTGTTCAGTTTCTCTGGGCTCTGAGAAAGGACTCAGCCATGTCCCTATTGGTATCACTGTGGTGTTAAGCTGAAAATAGTCTGGGGAAAGCAAGGGCAAGTAAAGAACAGCAGAAATATTTATCCTATTTTCTTTAATTTTTTTGGGTAGTTCATTCAGCAGATATTAAATGTTTCTTCTGTCCTGAATACCATGGATATGCTAGTTAAACATGGCAGATGATTTCTGTCTTCATAGTGTATATCGTCTGGTGGGGAAGGCAGACCTAAAATAAGTACCACTGCCCTGGCCGGTTTGGCTCAGCAGTAGAGCATCGGCCCGCAGACCACAGAGTCCCGGGTTCGGTACCGCTATGGGCACATACCTCAGTTGCAGTTTGTCCCTGGCCCCGGTTGGGGTTGTGTGGGTGCTAACCAGTCGATGTGTCTCTCTCACATTGATATTTCTCTCTCTGTCTTTCTCCCTCCGGCTCTGTCTGAAGATAAATGCAAAAATGTCCTTGGGTGAGGATAGAAACAAACAAACAAACAAACAAACAAACAAATAAATAAATAAATAAATAAATAAATAAAAAAAATAAGTACCACCTATGATGCATGGTGAGTGTTGTAACATGGGAAGTAAGCATAATGGAAACAAAGGTGCCTAGAGAATTTGGGTGGCTGATGACTTGTTTTATAGTTTCCTGTAAGCTGATTTTTATGGATGGGAGAGAAGTAAAAGCATTTCCTTATCAAATGTTCTTTCAAAAAATAATATCCTCCTGACATATCTCATGTAGTACCTACTTATTGCCCATGACAAGATCAAGTTACTCCACTCAACTGGGACCTGCCTGGGCTTGGATACCAGTGAGGGGCCTTTGTGATGGTACAGAGTTGAGGTTTCAATGGTGTCCATTATTGGTGTGATTATTTGTTTCAGGCTTCTAATAGATACCATTTTGACCACCACATTTGTATCACACTACAAAGGGAAACACACACACACACACACACACACGCACACACACACACACTCACGAAAAGTACAGGCATTTCTATTTTCAAGGATGAGATATTTTAGATTTACTTTACCAAGTAGGTCAGACAAAGGGATGGATGAAGGAGAGATCTCAAGCAGGAGTCAGGGTGGCACGTGTTTGAGATATTTCTTACTCTCTTCAAGTATTGAGTATCATGTCTGGGCCTTTGTTGCCAGCTTTCCCCCCTTGGGCACAGGAATAGATGAAACAACTTGGCTGTCAGTGATGGAGTGAATAGGAAATGAAGAGGGGCAAAGCCTCAGCTCTGAGGGAATGTTGAACAATTGGAAAACTTTTGTGGCTTCTGTTGCTGCCAGGGCTGGCAGGTGGAATTTACTTTGACTCGAAGGGTTTATGAATTTGCCCTCAAAGCAAAATAGAAGGTAGTTTTTCAAAGATAATTACAGAAAAAAATTACACCTAACAGAGTCATAAAATAACGTCTTTTGTCATATTTCTAGCTCTCTGCCATGGCCTGGTGGGATGATATTGTCCAGTCTGTAGTTGTGGTTGGGCCGCTCAGTTTTCACACAAGTCTGGTCACTTTACCATTTGCTCAGTTAACTCTTTTTGTCTCTCTTTTTTAAAAATTAAATTTATTGGGGTGACATTG